TCGTAGTCTGCAGGAGAAGTCCGAACGACCAGCTCTTACGGTGCATCATAGAGTATGAAACGAGATCTGTATAGTGTTTGACTTGCCGGCGGTTTCCGAAGTACTTTTAACTAGGTAATGATAAAAAAAGAGACTTCAGCAACACAGCATTTGTCAAATAAAGCTTGTTGATCCTACTTTAAAAATGTTATACAAACTAAAGATCCTGTCTGAATTATAATTGAATGATATTTCTCAGCTGCCAGACTGTTGCGAGAATCTTTTATCTCTGTAATAAGATATTACATTCATGTTGGCCTATATTTAAAAACAACGCTTGCCAAAAAGCCAGCGGCAATGCATCTGGTATGTTTTGATTGACTGGAGCAAAGACAGGAAGACGAATTGTATTTGTACATTAGTTGAAAATAGGGTTGTAACGGAGACCATTTTAACGGAAGCGGATGCGGAGATTTCGCTTCTGCAGAAACGGAGGTTAACGGAAGCGGAAGCGCAGGTCAATAATATAATATTAATTGCCATTTATTAAAGAAATAAAATCTAAAATTATTTTAATTCAAAATACAGATTAGTACATAATTATAAGATACAGTTTATTATGCAAATATAATGTATAACAATTATAGTTAGTTGACATAGGGCCGCATAAACAATACCTAATCGCCCCACTCTCGTTAAGGACGTAAATAAACTTCCGTTATAACTCCGTATAAGAGGAAGCGGATGCGGAGTTAACACTTCTTGCGGAAGTTCCGCACTTGCGGATGCGGAAGCGGAGTTCCGTTACAACCCTAGTTGAAAACACGATAATGGTTGATAAAAGCTGTGTATATTGTTTTGTTCGTGACTGTACTACATCTGTGAACTAATCTTTACCAAGCCTGTTTCCAGTAGCACAGGATGTTCTTTTTTGCGATGGCTAATCTTTTTATCACGAATGCATTAAGTACGCTAATACCGAATTTGGAATCATCCTTATCAAAGCACAGCGTAGTGAATTAATAAACCTGCTTGTCTGTACGTAGTGCAAATTTTTTGCTGTTATTGTTCATTGTTCTTCAATTTATGCACATTCTAAATTCTATTGTCATTCAATAGCTTTGTGTTAAATTCTTTTAGTTCTTTATTATGATTGGGTTAATATGTCTTATGGATTATTTAGTAATTTAAATAAACTTTTTTTTCCATATATTAGGAGGACGCTTTAGAGACTTTTAAACTAATTATTTCTCGTAATAATTTTTCTAAATTGTTGTCAATAAAGAAATTACTTGCAATGCATTTATTTTTCGCATAATTCGTGAAGCAATTCTATAGAAAAAAAAATCTTAACACAAGAATAATATGTGAGCAAACACAAAAATAGTCAACAGATAATTTACAATCTTTTTATGCAGTTGGGAACAAAAATTGTATTGAATATAAAATACTGGCAGTCACATTATTTTGAATTAAGAATAACGATCGTCAGATTTCATTTACTGGCCGCGATATGTTTGACGTTTCAAATAAACAAATCTCTGTTTACGAGCATTAATATTGAGGCGGCTTAGAAAAATAATCCAAATCGACGCATCGACGATTTAACACGAACATCTCGTGATAAATTTGCTCGAAACTGGCACAGACGAAAATCAAAATGTTTCGATCAGTAAAAACTATAATAATTTATTGATATTTCAAATTAAGAAAATACATAAATATACTAAAGAATCGATTCGTTTTTTTTGCTCTTGAGTGTACATTTCATTTTTTAACAATACGAAATTATTTCACAAGCTCACTGAATCTCACCTAATTCGAAATTTCAATAATTAATCCACAACAAAAAAATCGTATTTCTTCTGGAATCTTAATTACTTTAATTTTCTTTTCAACAATTCCGCGCCGCAAATTTCGCGAGCCGAGTCCTATTCCATATTTTTTATCTTGTTCCTCTTTTTGCATCTTAATCTCGGTGAATTAATTAAATACTTTGAACCTTGAAAAATCCTTCGCTTTAACATCAAATTGGTTCTCCCGGGACGAAATATTATCAAATTTGTAACTATAAAGAAATAAGAAAGTATAAAACAATAAAAATATATTTAAGTTTACAGTTTTATGTTTTGTACTCTTAGATACAATGGTTATTGTCAATCAAGATTCGTCTTGTAGGTTGAGAGCGCGCGCACCTTTGAATAAACTATCGCACAACTGTTTAGTCGCGCTTTGATTCCTCTTAGCTTATATGAAATTGCGCACAGTACTCGATTTTTGGTTATGCAATTAAACAGTCGAATGGGCTGGAAAACAATCGCCAATCACACAATAGTTGTGCGATAGTTTACTCAAAGGTGTGTGAAGTCAACCAACCCGCACTTGGCCAGCGTGGTTGACTATGGCCTGGTCGTCCCTTATTAGTGTAGGCCCCGAGCCCCTCGGTGGGGACATGTAGTAAGCTGGTGATGGTGATGATGGTGCGAAGAAGTGTTATATGCGAAGAAATGACAAAGAAAGTAATTTATGACAAAATTTGACTAGCAGTATTCCAAACCTGTCCACACATTCATGAACTATAAACCGTGTTACCGCTCGACGTAAGATGAACATTACATAAATCAATTGAAACTCGTAAAGTTTACAATCCTGCGTTACGTTTGAATTTCGAACAACACGCGTATGAATATTACCAACATTCGAATGAAAGATGGCGTCGTATAAATTCGGAATACGAAACAAAAGGTGCAACTGAAGAAAAGAATGTCTTTTCAAAAATAAAATACGTCCAGTGCCGTCGTCCGCCAACTATCTGTCGTACGTTAGTGTGGACGTGAACCGAAATAGACCCGGTCTCTAGTCCGACTTCGGTAGACAATGATAGAATCGCTCGCGGAACGTTCGCTTCTAATATTTTAGTAAATGGGCTTTTGACTCCGCTCGCCGGATGCTGTTGGCGATTTATTGATGTTCAACGCGTTGAGCTTTTAATTTCGCTGTGCGTTCAACTCCAATATTACACTTTGCTTTTAAAAACCACAATTCAGAAACATAAACTCAATTCGATTAAAAATTCAAGAACGAAATATAACAACAAATTAATTAGAGTTTTCAATCAATAAACTCTAACATACGAATTTTTATTTCTAACGACTACTTTAACGACGTCTAAAGGATCAATATTCGATTCGATATTCATTCGAATACAGCTAATATTTTTTCCAAATAAATCACTTATCAAAGTATCAGTATTCGACGAATTTAAAGGTACGCATTACGTTGAAGCACATTTAACAAAAAGCGATCGTCAATCTTTTACAAAAAAGCGAAGTCTCGACGCGAACGAGTAAATGGAAACAATCACTATACTTATAAAAGCACAACCAAAATTTCTTCGATAAAAAGTCGACGTAAGTGGAATTTCGGTCGGCGAATTAATCGCTTCAACAAGCGATTGCATCTTAGCCTTCGACCACTTGATTCGGCTCCGGTTTTAATTCAATAAAGGCATAAAATCATGTTTTGTATGATGATGTAATCTACTTCACATGACGTATGTTTGAAAATAACTTAGCCGGCTATTCATTAACTTATTATTTAGAAGCAGGTAATTTAATTATTCTTTGTTAAGCGGTAACATTCGTCTATTACATGCATCTTTCGAAAACAATGTAGTTGATAAAATGTTAATTAGGAAACACTCTCCAAGACTTACAGAAAAATAAAGTTTGGACAATATTTCTGTCGATTGTAATACCAAAATACTATTTTAATTAAGTCGTGTCTGATACAAGTAATGTTATTTAACCTCTAATCCGATTAAAAACAATTATAATTAAACTTAAATAGAAATCAATGAAATTTCCGTTAAACATGTAGCAAGTAAAATACGATATCTAATCATATTAACGGAGAGCAATAAAAAATGCTAATTGTACAATTTCTTCAAACAAATTACTTGATAAGCATAAAAAACAAAACAATAAATCGCTTCGAAGTAATTCCTATTAAATAATTTGAATTTTCCGCTATAAAAGGTCGAAAGTTATTGCACAATATGCAACTGGTTGGTTTTAAAAAAGAAATAATTCATGTTCCATTTTCAAAAACCGGTTTCGCGTCGGTTCGTTGATTTCGTTAAACGTTATTTATCAAGTTAATATTGCATTTGTTATTTAAATTATTGTTTTTTTTTTTGTAAACGGAACGGCAAAGGGTTTATTTTAAATTCGTAAAATTGCCATATTATAAATTCTTAATACATTTTTCGACTTTAAATGCAATATTTTAACTTTGACATGAACAAATTTAGCTATTTAACAATATTCCTTGTATTTTAGTTAACTAAATTTACATTAAATAACATTTTACTATCTAGATACAGCGCACTTTAAAGTAATTCTAGTAATAAAAACATTATCTATAACAGTTTTAATTATTAAAAACGGTAATAAGCATATAAAAATGTAGTATTTAAAAGGCTAGTAATTGACATTTTTACATCAAATAAGTCAAGCAAACAACTGGATAAACCAGACAGTATTTGACGATATTATTTTCCTTATATTGCTTAAAATAACTTAATGAATGTACCCAACTTTATTGTATAAAATACAGTGATTTATTAATAATAATTATATTAGTAATTTTACATTGAAAATAATGAAATCAAATTTAACGTTACACAGCCGTCAAGGTCACTTAATCCGAGAATTAATTTAATCATCATTATTGTTATTTCAGAGTACAACCTTATTGTTCATGGTTTTAGACTTAAAACTCCGGCATCAGGTTTTTGACACATTTAGAATTTATGGTAAACAATTAACTCCTCATAATTCAGCCCTACAATGGTGGAATTCAACCCCGGGTAAACCGTAATAATTTACAAAACCCCTTCTTGCATGTCTGTATATTATCAACATTCACATTTTTATTCCAACTCGAAATTAAGCAAAATGAATTTTAAATTTCAGACATCTACAGTCAACAAAAGAGGTCATAAATCATTAAATACTTACTTGTAAATAAATGAAGTAATCTCCAAAACCAACGCCACAAACTTTATTTTCAAAAGTTGATTTACAAATGTTAATAAAACCACTTAAAGTTATTTATAAGCACGATTTAAAAATATTTCCACTATCAAATAATCACTACAACATTAATACTAATAATAATTACTCAATTACTCAAAGGTCTAAGTAAGTATATGTAAGCCGGAAAAACGTAAATTTTCGCGGGAAACACGACGCGCTCGGACACAACCCGCCCACGTCGATGCTAGAGGACAACTGAACGAATAGATTCACCTGCAATGCGTGCGCTGATCGGTTCGTTGAAAGTGAGACGGCTTTATTAGTCGCTACCGATACCTGAAAGAGAGGTCGATAGCCACGTGCTCGTAGACCTCCCTTACAAGTTTTCAGGAAAAGGGGCATGTTACAAAGCTGCGAATAAGGTTATTTATCGTTATAGAACCTTGGATAATAGGTCTAATGTTCCTTTTGGTTTTGATATTCCACGTGACATTTTACTATCCCTATATCTACGAGTATACATACTGAAGGGCTAAATTCCTTCGTTTTATTAAATCATTGTTAACACGTCATCACTTCGTCCTCTAATTCTCTTTGACAAATTACGTATGTATATTTTATTGTCTGCGGCGTATGTTACGAAAACAGAGGTCGTATAAAAATATTTCGATACAAATTGTTAGGAGTATAAATAAAGTAAATACGTACATCTCGGTTATCGTACAAGTTGATGTCACATTTAGGTTAGTTTCATAAACTTTGAATACGGTCTGAATTCATGAGCACATTGACAGTTTGCGTTGTTTTATTATTTATGTTTCGTAACAAGATAATGTTGTCTACTTTATTTCGAAGTACTAGAAGACATTTAAAAAATTGTGGTACGAAATTATCACAACACCAAATTCAATGTGACTTTTTTAATTTTTTTTCTTACTTCTTACTAATATTATAAATGCGAAAGATTAGATGAATGGATGTTAGAGTTTGTAGTCTAAACTGATCAACGGACATCAATGTAATTTGGCATAGATGAAGATATCATGAAGAAAACATTAGCTAATTCCTTTTTTTTCTAATTCGACGCGGACGGAGTTGAGGGCGAAAACTAGTAACAAAATAAATCTTCTAAGTGGTCTTAAAATTAGTCACCTAACTAATAATACTTGAACTATAAAAAAAATAGTATTAAGAGACTGCTTACATTTATTTGCAATATCGAAACTCGATTCATAATTCTGCTTAGTTTACGTTACATTTTAAAATTAAATTAGAAGGTACGATAAAGTATCGCCTCGACTTCAGTACAGAAAAGTATTGTAATTTAAATAAAACTAACGGTTGAATTTCTTCATTTCTTCTCTAGGAGTTCATTTGATGGTATATCTATACTATTATAATATAGCGTAAACACATACTTCTTTGTTGCCTAAGATCTCAGCAATTACAGCATATTTTTGAATAATTCTTTTTTTAATAAAAAGCCCTACACTTACGTCACGCTTTAGGCTATATATTTTCACGACGTTAAACTTAGAGGTAAATATTTTGGATAAAAACCCTAATGTGGGAAAGAGATCATAAGTTGTTGCCAACATCAAGGAAACAAGATTGCCGTGGATTGTCATCATGTCATGTCATTTTGACATTTGCAATTGATAATTTGACACATGTAAACAATAAAATGGTTTTTCTATAATTTTATGCGGATGAAGTCGCGTGCGAACAGCTAGTACTTGATATTTATATTTAGAGATATACTTTATATTTAGAGATTAACTGATATATGTATTTAAAAATAACATATACATTTTTTTGGAAATAAGGTAAGTCAGTTACCTTACATATACAACATAATTAAATTTTAACATTGTAAAGAGCAATCACGTAATTTTTACTTTTATATCTCCCAGTTAAATATCAATTAAAACTTTAGGACGATCGTTAACTTCTATATTTGTAATCTAATAGTTCCTTTAATACAGTGCGTGTAAAATATTGACGTCTATTGTAAACGTATACAAGCGTATAAACCTATGATGTAACTATTCAAAGAACTTATTGTATCACAATGTACTGACTACATTTGCTCCAATTGTACTTTGTTATTAAGCAATCATATCATACTAATATTATAAATGCGAAAGTTTAGATGGATGGATGGATGTTTGTTAGAGTTTGTAGCATAAACGGCTAAACGGATTACGATGAAATTTGGTATAGATGTAAAGGAATGTCTGGAAGAACACATAGGCTACTCACTTTTATTTTTTTTAATTCACGCGGACGGAGACACGGGCGAAAGCTAGTACCGCAATAATATACACTTTATAGGAGCATTTGTTGACGTATAAGAAATGTATTTAACACACTTTATACTAAACGACTTAGATGTTATTTTACATTATAAAAACAGCTTAGCAGCGGCACCTATCTAATTTTGTAGTTGATTAAACTATCACACTACTGTTTAGTCACGCTTTGATTCCTATGAACTAGTGCGCACACTACACGATTTTTAGTTGTGCAACTAAACAGTTTAATTGGCTGCGAAACAATCGACAATCGCACAACAGTGCGATAATTTAATAAAACGTGTGCACCCGCTCTAAAGGTTTGTTAATGGTGGACTGTATATTTAAATGACACGACTTGTAGTTAACCAGTTTATTACAGAAAGATACAATAGTATATAATAAATAAACGCCGTGTTCTCGGTATGTGTCGTGGAGCGCAACTGGCCGAAGCGGTGGTGAGGGCACGCGGGGGACGGACGAGTTCTGAAAGGGTCCCCTCCGCGCGGCTTCCCCGCTGAGGTGCGGGAGCACTGAACATACTGCCGGGGCCAGGCTGACGATCGGGATCGGAAGCTGCAGATGTTGTAGTCTTCACCAAGATCCTGCTGCTGCGGTTAGAGATGTGTTTCTTGAAGTGACGCTTATTACGGAGAGCATACTGATGGCAAAGGACAAATGTTATTTAAAGCTCTCCGGATAACCCCCTTTCTGGTCTTGATATCTGCCACTCGAGTGACGCCGTCATGTCCTGGATGTACTCCGACAACTCGACCTAGACACCAGAGTAGAGGCGGCTGGTTTTTCTCGCGCACCAGCACAAGGGTGTCAAGAGGCAAGTCTGTAGAAGGTGAACGCCACTTGATGCGTTGCTGCAGGAGGTGAACATAATCGAGTGAAAACCGATTCCAGAAATGTTCCTTTAGCTTAGCATAGTTTCCGAAAACAAAAACAGTTTATTTAACAAGAAAATCAAACAAAAAGACAAAGCACAAATCTATTGTTATTAAAAAACAAAACGAAAAGAACTTCTTCACAACCAAACAATAGAGTTATGAAAAAGTTTTCAACAAGCATCATTTATTATATTTCTCACTTAGTTGACCTTGAATTTTTATAAGATGATATCACTTAGTACAAAAGTTTCAGTCGACTGCTCATAGTAATGTTTATGTTAATTACTTTGTCGTAATTAAACGCATTCAAGATCTTTGAAAATATACTAAAATGCATCATTTTTAAATTAGGAAATACATGGAATGTAATGAAGGTTAAACATCAAGGTTAATAAAGAAAAAATAGTTATTTCAAATCATAAATTTACTTTGATTTAATTATGACGTCATAAAAGTAGCGCGTCATTTGTTACAGAAAACTTTTCGACAGATTGGACACGAATGGACTCTACTCGCTGGTTACCAAAAAACTAGTACTACTTTAGTCCCTTTTCCTTTCCACCGTTTATCTCATAAGAATAGAATGGAAAGGGAACGTGGATATGCCGGTGGAGGAAACGAATAGGAAGATATCCTCTTAATGTGTGTATCCCCCTCCGTCGATTTTGGGTATTTAACACATCCGCTATTATGTTTATAGGCAGCGGTCGCTTCATCATTTCGGCAGATTCAGGTGGCCGCTTGCTGCTTTGCCATCTTATAATATGAAAAAAAAAAATATTCGTTACCACGATTAGTCACTGTCAGGAAACTAAAAATAAAAAGTTAAATAATTCCAGAATTTATTTTATTTTAAAGAAACAAAACCCAATAAATAACGGTTACGAAAGCATTTTATTAGCGCATTGTTGGACGGCGGTCATTTATTTAATAGACACTGGGATAACGGACTATTTTTACACAATGATTGGGAATCTTAGTATACTTCTTGGTATTTTACTTTAGTTACGGAATTAACAATAAATATGCAATAACTGGATCACATAATCTCCAGCGCTATTGTATTCTACGAACAGTGTCCGGTCATGACATTCTAAGATTTGGAGAATGTAAAAGTCCATGGTCCACGTGTGTAAGATTCTAGATATTTACAATGTAGAAAACTTCTACTGATGCAATGGGAGCGAGAAGCCAAGTAACGGTATTTTTTATTAAAAGACTAATTTATTTAAAAACAATGCTTAACTGAAGACAGTTTTTGACAAAGTCTACTTTATTAAAATCTGTTGATAAGATAAGCGATCGTTTTTTATTTGTGTTCAATTATTATTTAATAATAGCTACATTCTGTCAAGGTAGATATCGTCAAAGGGAACTATTAATTTTCTAAACAACTAACGTAACCCCATTAAATATGAAACAATTTTTTGTCGTTAGTTCTGAATGCCAATTTGATTTTTCAACGTCTTCGTCAAAAGAAGGCCGTTTGAAATAAAATAGTTGCCAAAAGCTAAAACAATGTCTTGAATCTTTGTCAAACTTATACCAATTCGAAATATACTGCTTTCGTAGTAGATAATAATTATTACAACATTATTATTGTGTGTGGGTTTTGAAGATTAAGAACGGCAAAACATAAGGATCCAGAAATGTGTCGATACAAGATACAAGATATTCACAGTTTATCCAAGAATCTATCATTCAAAATACAATTGAAATGGATAGACTACGAAAGATGCTGTTAAATAACTAGCAAACTTTGTATTTAATCACATTTGTCTTTCTTTATTTGCAACTAGCGACTTCGTCCACGCAATATTAAGAGAAAAAGTAGCCTATAATATTCCCATTATGTCAGCTACCCTTCAGTGAAAGTCCGGACGAAATCGGCTCAGCCGTTTCGGAGATTACCCGGAACAAACGCGGCTTGTAGACAGACATGCAGACAAAAAAATTTAGCAACACAAATTTTATAAAATTACATACAGTCACTTCATTTTTATAATATGTAGGTATAGATAAATGCATATCAACACCACAACTTATTTTAGAACATGCAACTTTTCCAACCTAC